TTGATTTAACCCAACCCCCAACTGTAGTGAACCGGGTGAGTCCAAACCGTTGGAAAGGGTTTTTAGGGTTTAAGAGCAAACAGAAATTCCGCTGACCAGAAAATTTCCCTCCAGCTGCACGTATCGTTTGCCAATGGCGACTCATCTTATAGAAGACGAAGATAAACTAAACGACGCCCAAGTAGGCGCGTTACGACACTCATCCGATTCCGACTCGGAAGAGGAGCTCGAGGATCAGAATTGGGATGAGTGGAAAGACGAAGACGACGCCGTGGAGGAACTAGGCTCAAACCCTCAGTTCTCATGTCTGTTCTGTGACTCTTCATACGATTCGTGCAGTTCCCTGTTCCAGCACTGCGTCTCGGCCCATTTATTCGATTTTTATGCAATCAAGAAAGCTTATAACTTGGATTTTTACAAGTGCTTTAAGCTCATTAATTTCGTCAGGTCTCAGGTATGCGCGTATGCCCTCATTGTTAATGTGCGGTAGTTTGTGGACAATTTTGGGTTAGTGTTTCTGTTCTGTGGTGATTTGCAAGAAATATTTGCAGCTCTTTTTGTATGTGGATTTCTCATCCACGAGTTGTCAGTTGAGCTCAGCTAAGTTGTGCGTGTGCGTGTGTTTGCCTGTATTTATCCCTTTTGTTTTGTTTCATTTCTTGCGTTTCTTGGGGTGCTAACGTTTTGAAAGTTTTAAGCTGTATTTTCTCTGTGAAGGTTTGTTGCTTGTTTTTTTAAGAACAAAGTATACCGTAGTTTATATGTAGCAGGGAGACGTTAAACTGATTGTCTGATACTCTATATGACTCATGGGATTGCACTGTTGATAAGTTATTTTTTATATTTCTGCTTTGGACTTTTGAGTTTGGGTTTTCATCAAGTCTGAGAGTGCAGCGTCAATTCATTTTGCTTCTCTAAATCATATCAATAGCTGTAAGAGATGCTATTAAGTTTGATATGAAAGTGAATTTTATTAGGTCTATTACCAAATAACTGAAGTCCTCAACATGTAACTGACTGTCTGATCGAGGCACAAGATTGAAAGGCGAGTCAAGGACTTGAACTAATTAACTGAAAGAAAAAAATTGAGACAATTTGCTTAATATTTGATCCGATGACCGATGAACCTAAACCATACATCTGAAGCAAAATCAGATACTAAAATTTTGAGTTACTGAAAATTGTGCATATCTTTAGCCAAGTCAGGATTTTTGTTTTGTTAGACTCAACTTGAAAGCCAAATCAAGATTTTAGTTTTGCTAGACCCAACTTGAAAGCCAAGTCATGCTCATGCACGCCCTTAGTCTGCGGAGTTCTTTTTCCTGTTAGAGGTGAGTGGAGGTGTAAGACTGACTGATGTACCATGTGCCTCAAACATCTTGCTGTCATTTCTAATTTTCTATCCTAAGTTATTATTGATTCTACAAAGAACGTTTTCTCTGGAGCAGATAACAGACTTCCTGAGGAGAAAATGTTACTGTGAGTAATATTAGGTGCACGGGAAATCACATTTAGTTTCTGTATGCATCTAGGCAGTAATCTACTATCATTTTAATAAAATGAGATATTAGATTGAAGGCATCAATGAGATGTTGCTTCTTTTGTAAATTTTGCCACCACATGAAACTAAAGATAATATTGAAGTTGTTTCAATGTATGGTGGTTATGTGCTGAGTCACTGTGATTTATCGTCCTTTTCTTTCACGTACAGGTGGCAATAAACAAATGCTGGAGTTGTGGAACGACTTGCATATCCAAGGAAGACTTGCAAAAGCACTTACATGAGTCAGCTAACTTTGATGGGAGCACTTTCCCGTGGGATGATGATAAATATTTCAAGCCTTTTATGCAAGATGACTCACTTCTATACAGTTTTGATGAGGATGACGATGATGATGAGGGAGGAGTAATGCCCCTTGACAGGGAGGAACTAGCATCGTATATGTCTCGGTTTGAGCCTATTGATATGCATGATGAGGGTACTTCAGACATTAGTGCACCTGAGCTTGTGAATCCTCGTGAAAATGGGGGAAAGGATGCTGCTGCAAAGCCTTTGGAAGGTCTAATAGTTGGTAATGGCAATACCACTAATGGTGGCCTTTTACCCTGTAGAAATAGGAAAAATAAGTCAAATGCAGACCCGTCAATAAAGATAGCAGCTGATGAAATCAAGAGTATCAACAAGAAATATTTTAGCTCATATGGTTCATTCGGCATTCACAGAGAGATGATCAGTGACAAGGTACTGTGGAACTTAATGTCTGAAATGTGAACTCTTGGTATGTTTTTTTTAGGAACATGCACACATATTCATAAATCCTGATGGTATCATGTCTAATACGCAGGTGAGAACAGATGCCTACAGACAAGCTATTTTGGAAAATCCTTCTCTTCTAAGAAATGCAGTTGTTATGGATGTTGGTTGTGGGACAGGCATTCTAAGGTGCAAAAGTACTCTACATTATGTTTGATTTCATGTGAATTCATTGTGTATATACTTCAATACAGATGTGTGTTGGCATATGGAATTCTTTACCTTTTTTAGTATATAATTGAAGTGATCATGCTCACTTTTGATGGCTGAGATTTCATCCCCTCCTTTTTTACTAGCCTATTTGCAGCCCAAGCAGGAGCTTCAAGGGTTATTGCAATTGAAGCCAGCGATAAGATGGCTGCAGTAGCTACTCAGGTTAATTTTCTTCTTATCACATATTTATCTTGCTTATCAGATATTATTGTAATGTATAATTGGTCTTTCCTGTTTAATAAAGAGTTTAAGCTGGTGCAGATTGCAAAAGACAATGGCTTTCTGCGAAACAGAATAATTAGTGATGGAAGTCGACAAAGTGGTTTTATTGAAGTGGTTCAAGGCATGGTTGAAGAACTAAACAATGCTGACCAAATCCAACCGCAGAGTGTGGATGTGTTATTCAGTGAGTGGATGGGATATTGTCTGCTTTATGAATCGATGCTCACATCTGTACTCTTTGCACGGGATAAGTGGTTGAAACCTGGAGGCGCCATTCTCCCCGACACAGCTACCATGGTACAGAGTGGTTCTTAATTTTTTTTTTTAAGAAAAAAATTAATTTGGTGAAATCATGTTCATCCTTTTATTGTAAATTGTAATAAATGGTTTTGCCCGTTTTTATATGCAGTTTGTAGCTGGATTTGGAAGAGGAGCCACCAGTATCCCATTCTGGGAGAATGTGTATGGTTTTAATATGTCTTGTATCGGTCGGGAGGTTGATGAGGGTGCTGCTCAGGTTCCTATTGTTGATGTGATAGACAGTTGCAATATTATCACGAGCACTGAAGTTCTTCAGGTTTATGTCTGATGGCCATTCTTTAACTAAAATTCAAATGTAGTTATATGTCATCCTGCACATTGACCATGTTAGTCAAGTCGAAAGCGAAGGTGCTTGTGGATAAAACTATCGGTCCTCTAATTAAAAGTAGAATAATGGTGGATGAGTAAACTCACTGTCCCACCACTTGTTTCTTTTCCTTTCTTTTTACTTGTTTTACGGTTTTCTAAAGATACGAGTAGCACCGTTGAAAATTAGAAAGAGAAACCCCTGGAAAAGGCCAAAGAAACTAAACAAATCTGAAATTAGGACCCCACAAATTTAGCTAAGAAAGTTTATAATTTTGTTGTGTTTGATGAAACACTTGTGCAGGCAGTTTGACAAATTCGTTTTTTATTTTCGGCACTTTCTGGGCATATAGAGACTACACAACATCGCTTTTATCTTGATCTATTATCCTTTGTTTCTGTCAACTTACCATGTTTGGGATTCTGAATGAAAGTTTTTTATGTTTTCAGTCCTTTGACCTGGTGACTATGCAGCCAAATCAAATGGATTTTACAGCCGTAGTCGAACTGGAACCAAAGCCAAAAGAACCAAACGAGGTTACTTGGTGCCATGGCATTGTCTTGTGGTTCGAAACTGGATTTACCGAGAGATTTTGTCGCGAAAAGCCAGTTGTCTTATCCACATCACCTTTTCATCCGAGCACGCACTGGTCACAGACTATCCTCACTTTCAGAGAACCCATTGCAATGAGTACTGTCGCGAAAATACAGTCTCGTTTAAGTATTGTCCGAGCTTCTCAGCACCGTAGCATAGACATTTCGATGGAGCTCACTGGAATTGGGCCCAGCGGTAAAAAACATTCGTATCCGGCACAGATTTTCAATCTCAACTGACAAATGAATCGATTTTCTTTGCTCTTGCATGGTAGAAGTGAATTGTGTGAGACGGGAAACAGCTTTGCTGCTATACATAAATGATTTTTGTGGGCAGCTGAGGTTTGTGAAATGAGTTGTATAAGTTCTGCTTTTATCTTTGTGAGAAAATTTGAATGCATTTTCTTTTATCCTTAATTTTTGTCTGCTTTAAT